TTAAAATCCACATCAAAGTCCTGCATGAGATCAGGATCAAATTTAGCTCAAGAACGGATACCAATTCAGACACACCGCTAATCTGGCCCTTCCACATCAGACAGCACATGTGGCGTGTGGTCAGTCACCTGAGAAGACAGACGTTCTGGTTATTCTACTCGGTACAGCAAACGTGCCATAAACTATGATGTCGGTTTCACCAGGGATGATGAATTTAAAAGCAAATGGATAATTTTTATGGATGCCAGGTACCACCCAAGCACAGCTGCCCTCTCTCCCTCTATCTCTCTTTTATGAAGTTCATAAAATACAGCTATTCTCCTCTTTTTCTCTCTCTCCACATTGTAATGTGCTACGTGGAGCCATGGTCATCTGGCTCCATCTTAATTATATGGGAAGCTCGGAGGGGAATGCTAGCACACAACAACAGAGCACAGCAAACACACAGAGTCCTGAAGCCTAGAGAATTACCAAACATTTCCAAAATTACAGCCCACTGAAAAGTTTACAAGTGAACCTGGGTAACCCAAAGACTCAGATGGTAAAAACTGAAGAAGTTGTTCCTTAAATGAGCTGCCTACTATGCTACTATAGCTACTTTCTAAAGACGTCATGTGACATGATTGGTTGAATTTTTTTTTTTTTTTTTTTTTTTTTTTTTTTTTTGATGACTACAGTGTCTAATATTATTATAAAGGTAACTGGAATACAAAATTCTGATTTAACAGTCGTGGTACGTAGCGGATGGATATTTTTTGTCATTTTCGCCATTATAGGCCTATCATTGTAACGCTGTAACGTTGACGCTGTTATACTATATGTATCAGTCCCCTCATCCGTGTTATCTTTGTTTCATAGTATTTTTCTATTACTGTTTAATCTCATGTGGTGAGCTGTGTTGTATTAAGCTGAAAGGTAAAAATAAGAGAATGTTTTTTAAGGTGTTTATTATCACAGGACGATGACTGACGTAAACTGAGACCGGCGCTACTTTCATGTCTCTCGCGCTCTCATTTCATATAAACGCTACTGGCGCCATCTGGCGTCTTAAATCATCAATTGTAGCAAGAATGACCTCAGTTGACTTCTGTTTTTATATTACTGGTGTGTTGCAGTGTTCGTCTAGCCTGGCAAGCCAGACCTACATCAAGATGTTGCACACTTTGCTGCAAAATAATTTTTGCTGCCGCTATGGTGCGTCTAGATTTCTAGGCTAGTGTTCGTCTTGTTGCTTGGCCGATTGTTTTGTACTTTGAAAAGTACTTTTTTTTCTAGGCAAAAGCTTTAAACGTTTTTACGGTTTTTTGTTTGTTTTTGTTTTTTACTGTATTGCTGTAATATCTGGCCATCAATTATAGGTAGCTTTTTACTTTCTTAATGTGACAAGTGAGACAGGATATTAAACTGGAAAAAGAATAGGGTAGGACTTAATTTTATCCACCAGTGAAATGTGGTTAGACAAATGTTGGAGGGAAGGGGCTAAAAAATAACAGGGTTTGGTGATGTCAGCTGAAATGGAAATCATTTCAGAGTTAAAGTGAATATAGGCCATATTTTAATGAAAGATTATGTAGACAAGCAGTTTTTCTCTTTGGAATTACTTGTACCATTAAATTCCACAACATAATACCAGAATGTGTATTAAGAAAGTAATTATTTTCATTCTGATTTCATGTTGAGTTTTCCACTATCCCGGAAAATATGAATAACCACTGCAACATAAAAGCCTATAAACAACATTTGATCCACAATATTGATTTTTTCCCAGACCTTATTTCTATCAATATCTATTTTTGTTTGTTTGTGCTTTATTCCCCAACAGGGTTAGGTTACGTGCCATACGATATTCCTTCAGACACACTGCTGTTGGACCTGCAGAGCAACAGGATCACAGAGATTAGAGAGGGAGACTTTAAGGGACTGACCAACCTCTATGTGAGACCTAACATATAGGCTATTTATTTTTTATTTTGCATCATAATTATTACATTTGCTGTCATTTTGTAAATGAAGTTCTAAATACAAAATTGGGATTTATGTTGTGCATTCCTATCAAAGATTCATAGCCCCTGTCCCGTTTCAGGCCCTGGTGTTAAGATATAACCAAATCTCCAAAGTTCATCCCAAGGCATTCCTTCCTTTGAAGCGTTTGCAGAAGTTATACATCTCGCACAACCTTCTGACTTCCATCCCCAAAAACCTGCCTCCATCCCTTGTGGAGCTGCGTATCCATGACAATCACATCAAGAAGGTGCCGGCATTTAGCTTCTCAGGCCTCCACAACATGCATGTCATTGGTAAGGCTGTGTGTTTGTCTGTGTGTATACTGTAAATTAGCTGTGCTAATGACATCATTTGATTCATGATGTCACCTAATGGTTGCTCACTGAGGTTATAGTCCTGTAAAGCTGCTTTTTGACAACATTTACTGATAAAAAGCTCTACATAAATAAAACGAAATACTTTATTTGTGCCTCAAACACTGGTTTATTTTGCAGAAATGGGTCGTAATCCACTCCAGAACAGTGGTTTCGAACCTGGAGCATTTATGGGCCTTAAACTGAACTACTTGCGCATTTCTGAAGCCAAACTCACTGGGGTACCCAAAGGTATTGAGAATGATGGTTCAAGTTTAATATATATTTAAGTAATTGACTATTTTGAAATAAATGTTATATATATATTTATATATATATATATATATATATATATATATATATATATATATATATATATATATATATATATATATAGCCTATAGGCTTTTTTTAAAGTTTTAATTAGTTCATGGTTTCATGAGAATGCACTATTGTATATACAGTACACAATACAGCATACAGTACCTGTCAAAAGTTTGGAAGCATTACTATTTTAATGTTTTTGAAATAATTATTTGATCAAAAATACAGAAAAAAAACAGTAATACTGTGAAATATTATTACAATTTAAAATAATGGTTTTTTATTTTAATATACTTTAAAAGATCATTTATTCCTCTGAAGGTAAAGCTGAATTTTCAGCATCATTACTCCAGTCTTCAGTGTTACATTATCCTTCAGAAATCATTCTAATATGCTGATTTATTATCAATGTTGGAAACACTTGTGCTGCTTAATATTTTATATAGCCTGTGATTTTTATAACCTGTGATACTTATTTCAGGATTCTTTGATGAATAAAAAGTTCAAAAAAGAACAGCATTTATTTAAAATAGAAATATTTTGTAACAATACACACTACCGTTCAAAAGCTTTCTTTTTTCTTTCTTTTTTTTGAAAGAGATTAATACTTTTATTTAGCAAGGATGTGTTAAATTGATAAAAAGTGACAGTAAAGATTTATATAGAAAATATTTATTTTTTGATTCAATGCTGTTCTTTTTTATTTTTTATTCATCAATGAATCCCGACAAAACATCACAGGTTAATAAAAAAAAAAAAATTAAGCACAACTGTTTTCAACATTGATAATAACTTAGTATCAAATCAGCATATTAGAATGATTCTGAAGGATCATGTGACACTGAAGACTGGAGTAATGTATTTATATATAGGCTACAGAATAAAGGTGTTTTGTTACAGAATACAAAATTCTTTTCTTCAAGGAATGTGTCCCATTATGTTTTAAATACAATGCAACTCATTCTACTCCATATGGAATGTGTTTCATTCTTGCCAGACCTTCCCAGCAGTCTCCATGAGCTTCATTTGGACAATAATCAGATTCAGGCCATTGAGTTTGTGGATCTCAGCCAGTACGCCTCGCTGCAGAGGTAAACCCTACACATTCCCAATTATTTGGTGTGATAAATATGATCAATGAAACATTTCCCTGTAGTTACACTTTTACATGGACTTTATTATGACATCAAATTTGCTTTGGGTGTCCTCTAGTGGTTAAAACCCCTCTGTCTCTGTGTCTAGGTTGGGACTCGGCAGTAACCAGATTCGCCACATTGAGCACGGTGCTTTATCTTACCTCACCAACCTGAGGGAGCTGCACCTTGACAACAACCGTCTGCCCGGTGTGCCCAGTGGTCTGCCTCAAATGAAGTATCTGCAGGTGTGCTTGTGTTTGTGTACAGATTTCTATCTAGTTCATTTACACTAAATAAACTGAACCACACTCTCCTTACAGGTTGTCTACCTCCATTCAAACAACATCACCAATGTTGGGGTGGATGACTTCTGCCCAACAGGTTTTGGGATGAAGAGGGTGTTCTACAATGGCATCAGTCTCTTTGACAACCCGATCAGGTACTGGGAGGTGCAGCCCGCTGCGTTCCGCTGTGTCAGTGACCAAATGGCTGTACAGTTTGGCAACCACAAGAAATAAAAGATGGACAAAACCAATCCAGGAGGAGAACAAGAAGAAATAGTGTCCAAAATCTGAGTAAATCAACAAGATATTTGAGTGAAGACGGTGAATATACATTCCCATGGAGGCATAATTCAGAAGAAACGTGGACTCCATTTAAACCGAAGGATTAAAGAACCACTGGTAAACGACATTAAAACGGTGCATTCAAAACTATTGATGTGTGTAATTCCCTGCTGACATTAATGAATATGTACTCCACAAAAAAATGCCTTTTTGTTCAATTTAGTTGACACAGCATTTTTGATTCCTTAATTAACTCTCTGAGATGTCTATTAACAGTTTCATTTGCTTAGTTTTCATGGATTGGATCTTTAAATAATTAGATACATTCACAGTTTGTCATTCTGTACGCCTATTGTCACTCATTCATCATGGTAATACTGTAATAAAGTGGATTGTGTTGTGGATGTTTATCATGCCATCACAAGACAGCCTACCTTAAAGGTGATTTTCTTTAATGTCAACTTTAATGAACTTTATTGTAAAGAAATGATCCTAAGCGGATTCAGTTGAATAATAACCCTGCAGATGTGGCAGAAGATTTGAAGGTGGAGTAGCTAAATTACACTGCAAGGAGAAAGTCTTCACAAACAAGTCCTGCTTCTAGTTGTCGTGTGGCCACGCCCACAAGGCTTGGCAGAAGAATTTCAACCCTTTTGCTTATAGTTTCTGCTCTTAACGACTAAACAACACGAGAGATGGACTACAAAGAACAGGTACGTTTACAAATATTTACTGAATTAACTCAATACGTGGATGATAATAATTCATATTTCAAAATAAGCCTAGAAACTAATAAAATATGTATTATTTTATGTCACGTGGACTAAGTGAATTAGGCTACATGTTAAGAATGCTAATTCTAACTATTCTAACCAGAATTGTTTAAAGTATTTTAATATTTATTATTAGAATATGTATAATTATTTGGAATCAGCTGAGGATCATTAGGTTACTTTTTTCTCATATGTAACTACCGCTAGAATGTGATGTAGCTTTAAGACCAATTATGGGGCTTTCGCACCAGGTAGTAAGTTAACAGTTATAGGAACTAGCCATTAGTTCCCCCAAAAGGCGTTCCTAACTTAATACGTTCCCAGTTCCTGCGGTGCAAACACGCCAAAAAGTGGAAACTATTAATTTTAGGAACTATAAAAAGGTTCCTCCGGTGCGAAAGCAAAGCACCTTTGCGTATAGGGTCTTTTGAAGAATTAGAAATGATTTTACTTTAATCTTATGACACTATTACGATGGTTATCATTTACGTCCTCAAAAGAATGCAGACGTCATATGTTGTCAAACTTGTTCTAAAACCTGTAACAGCTATAAGCGGGAGGAATCTTGATAGATTGAAACTGTCATGCACAGGTTGAGCAAGTTGTATCCAGCGCGCAATTCGGAGATTTGATCGAGTTCTCGTACCCCATTGGCTACTCACACTGGGGCGTTTATGACGGAGATGGATACGTCATTCACTTTGCGGTTGCAGGTAAGCACGATAACGTTTACTTTAATACTAATACTAATTCTATAAAAATAACGATACAGTCATACTATACTATACTACTATACTAGGCCTAGCCATACATTTTAGGTATGTGTCTGAAATTGAGGAGACTAAAGAAAATGTAAGAATATTAAAGGTATATAGCCTAGGCTATATAACTCCTACACTGCTGTAGCCTGTATATATAAACTACACAGGTTCAAATGTCACCTGATATCCTCCTGGCTGGCTGGGACCCAGGAATAGACTTTTGTCCACTGTGGACATTATATTTGAGTGAATTTCTGACACCATACATGTACAGTTTTAAAGGGATAGTTCACCCAAAAATTAAAAATGTTTCATTACTTACTCACCCTCAAGTTGTTCCAAACCTGTATGAGTTTCTTTCTTCTGTTAAACACAAAAGAAGATCTTTTAAAGAATGTTGTTAATTAGACAGCTGACGGCACCCATTGACATCCATAGTAATATGGAAGTCAATGGGTACCGCCAATGTTTGATTACAAACATTCTTTATTAAAAGATCTTCTTTTGTGTTCAACAAGAAGAAAGAAACTCATACAGGTTTGGAACAACATGAAGGTGAGTAAATGATGATTTTCATTTTTGGGTGAGCACATTCAGGGCTTTTCAGAGATACCAAATGTTTGGGGGTTTTACCATGACAACAACTTCTCCTTGGTCTTTTAAAATGACTGACAATAATTTAGTGATCAAATAAGCACTCTTATGGAAATATGATAATGTTTTGTAATTATCATTTAAATCTGACTCATTTTAAAATTGTTTGTCATAAATCAACATCTCAGGAAAATGGTATGGGGTTTCTAATCAAAATATGACTTTCTGTTAAAAAATAGGGCATTGATTAACGTGTAAACCAGGGGTCACCAACACGGTGCCCGCGGGCACCAGGTCGCCCCCAGGGACCACATGAGTCGCCCGCAGGCCTGGTCTAAAAATAGCACAACTCAGTAGTGAGCTGCGTCTGAAATGTAATTGTATTCTGTTGATATTCTTTTTCAATCACACCTGTTGCATTTATATAGCATATATTTATATATTTATATTTAAAAATGACAATATCTTCTGTTCATTATACATGAGTTTAGATAAGTTTAGGTGAACTCTGACTTACTCTAGTTCAGGGGTCCAAACGTCGCTCGCGAGCTACCAGTAACGTTAGCTCGTGGCCTGATTGGAGGTTGCTCGTCATGGAGCCGTTCACATATCGAGTCTTTTGCGTCCTCAAGTTCGTTATTTCAAATGTAGGTGCGAGGCAAGCGCGCTCATAATTAAAGCGACGCGCTATTTTTTTCCAGGTGCAGCGAGATGAAAAAAATGCAACTATTCAGTATGCCGCAAACGTACCGCAGGTCAACCAATCAGCTTCACCCTTTCCATAACAACATTGAAAGCTCAGTCAACATGAAGGATGGGGGTGCACCCAAACACTACGGGTGTTTTTCTCTTCTCCGTAAATAAATCTTGTAGCAGAGCTACAGCAAGTGTTTTTCGGTGGTGGAAATCTATTAGCTACTAAAACTTCTTTGTCATTGTGGAGAGCACAGTGCATGGTTGCATAGCAACGACAGACGCCACGGGAAAATCAGATCGAATTTTACTCTTAATAATAAAAGATAAGCTAATGTGCATTGTAAAAGTCAGTAATTTATCTTTTTTGGCTCATTCTTTTTATAAAAATGATTTAAAGGCTGAAATATGTGAGGTTTATATTTTTATAAAACATTTTTTGTCAACTTTATTTGAACTTGTACATACTTGTACAGTAGGCTAGATAACATGTTGCAAGACACTCCTTTAAAATCTAGCCATAATTTTTAATGTTATTATTTTAATGTTTATGTAAACAAAAAGTGCATATTGATGCGGATTTATTTGTTATTTGCTGGTTTTCGACATACAACTTAGTGAATTGATTTCATTGTGTAGTATTAGTACTTTTTGAACAGGATTCTGTGATTACCGTGATCATTTTGGTCACTAATGAAATTAAATTATCATGCCATTTCATATCTAGTCATGATGAACTATAAAATCAACTATAATTATGTGTTTTTACAATATAATATGCAAAGTACAATTTTCTATAAAAAAAATAATCTCTGATTCTGTTCTTTTCTCTGACATTTAAGGGTGACATAGGCATACAAAAACCCTTTTAGGTATAAAACAGTTTAGATAGTTGTTAATATGCGAGTTATGAGACATTATTTCAGAGATTTAAGTATTGTATTACATGAGTAGCTCTCGGCCACTTTCATTTTTAAAAAGTAGCTCTCAAATGAAAAAAGGTTGGAGACCCCTGGTGTAAACAATGCCATGTTTATCAGGCATTTTGGGAGACACAACAAGTGAATGAGTGAAATTATATATCAATATTCCTATGAAATGTTAGATATTATTATGAAAATGTTGCCAATTATTACTCCCATTATTACACTTCTTTTTCATTACATGTTGCCCCGAAAACACATTTATATGCAAATTAGATACAGTGTGCATTGCATTGAATGGAACTGTATGGCCATTTTAACCACATATTGCCTAAAGTTAAATGCTATATAATTTCATTCCATTATATCTTTCAAAACATAGTTGAGAATCATCTTTATAGAAAGTTGGGTTAAAAAAAATCCTGAAATCTAAAAATTGATTGCTGAATGAAAAAAAAAAATCCCATGGTTTTTGCACCAAAAAATGACCTACTGTGATGCATAAAGCCTAATTCAGGCAATGAATTGAAACATAATTTTATATAGTATATTTAGTAGCCTATAACTGTTTCACTTGAATCTTAGGCTATTCTTGATTTCTTATTTCTTCTATTCTTGATCACCGTCCGTTATGGCCACAATTTGTCTCATACAGAACTTGCTTTTTCCATACCAGATGAAACTCAGGTGATGAGTTCGTTTCGGGGGTTTCTGCAGACTGTCTTCCCTGTTTGTGGTGATCTTTTGCTTGGAGAAACTAAGATACGGCGTCAGCTCCTGTCTGAAGTCAACGTACCTAAAGGCGCTCGTGTTTTAGTGAGCAATAACCGACACGCTCTCGAGCCTTCACCTGAGGATGAAATTAGACGACGACGAGATGCTTTACTTGACACGGAGTTTACTTACAAAGTCCTCACATTTAATTGTGAGCACTTTGCCACATTTGTCCGCTCTGGAAAAGCTATGTGCAATCAGGTGAGTTGATGAATCAGGTAGTATATCAAGTATATTTATATCAAGTTTAACAGTATATCATAAAGATCATCATCATTATGTTATTCTGACATACGTTTATATTGGTTCCTTTGTTTTAACAGATCCCAGGGAAGTCCAAAAACAAGGAATGTGAGGAGGCTACTGAACAATTTAGCAGCCATGTGCCATCGAATACTGAATTATCAATGCCAATCTTCACATTACCGGGCTCCAGACTAACTTTTTCTACTAGCGCTGTAGCCCCTGACTGAACATTTTAGGAGCGGAAGCAGAAAATTTAGGGGCACACCTTAAATCAGCTTGCAATGCAATTATTCAAATTTCCCCCCAAATAACTGTAATACTGACAAATTATTTAATAATAAATAGACTTAATGTACAGATATTACAATATGCAGTTTTATTTTAAGTTCACATGGCTGCAGACTAAATTTTGAGGGCAGCATGACGAGACACTTCCGAGAGTTCTACAAAAACAGATCTGGTAGCACTGGGGCATAAAGCACTAAGCTTAATTTAGGGTGTAGATGAAATTAACTTCTTAATCCTACTGTTTACAATGGTAAAACAAAATTTTAAATAAGTGTTTAAATAAGAGTTTTCCTACATCTTAACATTTTTCGTTTAAGGACAATCTTTGAAGGATGAACAAAAAATGTGTTGGTCATCACATTAAAAATAACATTTATATATGATATTATAGTTTTGAAGTGCTGGAAAAAAATGTAGGCATAGTACTTACCTAGACCTAGTAAGCATTTGACTATTTTTGTCCCAATACCATATTTATGGTTAGAGTTACTACATCAGCCTAAATCCATGGTGAATGTTGCTGATTTGTGGACTATACGCCTTCTGTAAGTGCTTCTCCTGGTTTCCACTTCAGCGCTGTTTGATCTGATATAACAGAACTCTGCGCCACATTTATGTGCATTAGCCACTTACAGTGGCCATTTCCTATTCTCGTCACGGCCTGCCACTCATTCCGGATTCATTGACGCGCCCCTTCCACGTTTAACGTGTAAAAAAATTTTTACTGGTCGCACATGTGCGACTGGAAGTAAAATTCAGTCACACACGCTCAAATTTTGGTCGCAAAATGTCTGGAGCCCTGCATTATCCCAAGAATATTGTGTTGAGTTTCACTAAGGATATTTTCCCCTCACTCTTGCATTAAACCAGTTTTAAAAGATTCCTATTTAATGTCAATGGAAAGGGTTCTTCACTCTTCAATGTACTTATTTGGTCTCCTAGCCTGGTCAGACTGGTTTGTTGGCTGGTTTTAAAACGGTTTTGGGCACTTTTTAGGTGGTCAGGCCGGGAGACCGACTTATCTGTTAAGCCAGTTAAGCCAGGTGATCATTTTAGCTAAGAAGTGGGTAAAAAAAAAAAAAAAAAAAGGTTTTCACATGATTTTGACTATCTTCTTCACATTTCTAACTAATGGCATAAAAAAAAATCTAACTAATGGCACATACCATTACTAATATTTACCATATAACACCACAGTTATAAAAACAATTTTTTAAATCCCATGGAATTGCTTAACAAGTGCAGATTTATTTATTTTGCTGCTGACACATTGCCAGTTACAACAGAAAGTCTGGGAAATATCTAATGGCTCGTCCCTTTTAATGCCCAGCATACACAGAACATTCCCCTAATGTTAGCATATATGGTTACCGTTTGTTTTTGTTTTTTGGGGGGTTTTTTTGGGAACCAATTAATAAAAACGAACCTTTCCAGAGCATTGCAGGGAGGTCTTTTCCTCGAGAACCTATATAATCATAACCATAAACTAACCTTTCCAGAAGATTCTAGGAAGCAAAAATCGTTAGCTGCATCCATGTACATTGATTTGCTACTTAGTCAGCTGCCGTTCCTATTTTACTAGAATAGACTATTTGTTAAAAGATAATTTTCTATTGGAAACAAATCTATTTTTAATTCATTGACTTCATATCAGCCAGAATTGATAATAAAAAAAAAAGATTTAAACAAAAATGCCAAGATTACAACAGGTTGTTGGGTTTGTAGATACACTTATTTTTATTTATTAAGATTTTACAGTAGTAACAATAACTAGTGAGCTAATTGTATTTTGGATGAAAATGTGGTTACCATGGTGATCTTTCATAATGTAAAGGGGCTATGCAGTGCTGTTTCTCGTGATTAAAAAAATAAATATTTATATTCCATACAAAGACCTGTTCTGATTAACGTTTTTTTCTTGTAGATTTATTCGTAACAGCAATGTAAAAAAAGAAAAATTGCACATCACGAGAGTTTATTGTCTGTTTGATAAAGACGAAGCGTTTCCTACATTCCCCGGATGTTGCCCCACGCTTGCTCATGTCCCGGATGTACCTACATTTTAGTAGAGGAACAAAAAATGGGCTCATTACCAAGCTTCACCAAACCGTTTAAATTATCCCCACACACGATTATTGTATATGTATGAGGACCAGACCGCACTTTTGAGCAGAGTCCGCGTCCGTAGTCACCGTGTCTGTAAAGTGATTCATGAAATTAAACAGGTAAGACAGTTGTATACATTCAGTGTTGCTACACGCTGTTGACGTTAGCAAGCCAGCAGTCAGTTGCTAAGCGAAGTTTATATCAATAGCAGATAACGTTTAAGTATCTTTAGGAATATAGAAGGGATCGCAATGAAATATTAACATAGAAAATGTATATAATCTTAACATATAATTGTGTTCTACAGCCCCTCCTTGTGTATGCTAAGCAGGCTAACACAGCTGTCCAGAGACATTTCAGGAGATTGTTGATGTCTAACTGCTTATTCATAAATCTTTTTTGCTAGAGTTTCTTGTCTTGAAAAGAGTATTATGTTAATGTTTTTAAAGCCATGATATGGAAGTGAGATGCATCCTGCTATCTTTATATTCATCCTTTTTAACCTGTTAGACGTTCATTTATAAGCTAACCAGGTCAGTGACTTAACTGTCCCTCTACCTACATTATACATAACGTTAGTAGATCAAAACTGAACAAACAGGCTTAAAATACAAGTTTGCTACAGAAGTTATAGTCATATAGGTTCTTAAATTGAAGCACTACATGTATATGTCATATCAAAGTATATATTATGTATGATTTTAAATGCAGATGTGATATCAGAATATATACCAGTAATCTGTGTGTTTTTATATGTGGATGTGATATGAGAATATGTAATCCTTATGTTTTTGTTTGTAGATGTGATATCAGAATATATCATTTTTAACTGTTTGATTTTATATGTAGTAGTGATATATAAGTATGAGTATAAAATCAGTATTTACCTTTTATGTAGATGTGATCAGAGTATATTATCTGGATGTTTTAATTCAGATTTGATCAGAATATATAATTTGTATGCTTTTTTTATGTAGATGTGATGTGCAAACATATGATCTGTATGATTTTTATGTGTTGCATGATTGAGCAATGGCAGTCTAGATTCACAGTTGAGCAATAGATCTGTTTACATATGTGTAAAATTCACCCAGGTCATGTGATACTGTGTCCATCATCTTTATTAATGTATTATTTATTATAATATGTCATAAGTCTCTATGATGCTGTAGTGGAGTGAGTGACTTAATGCTATGAATTCTGTTCTCTTCTAGAGTGAAGTTGGAGGTGAGAGTCGCGGGCCGAGCGTGTTGACAGAGTTCGAGCTGCTTCACACTGCTGACAGGGCCTTCCGCCATCCCCCTCACCCGTCATCTGCCTAGCGAAGAGTGATGACCTCACAGCAGCATGGGAATGCCAACCCTGCCCTCCTTTTGCCACAGAACTCTTCATCTAGTCAGGGCAGGCAACACATTTCTCGTTCTCCGATAGACTCGTATTCCCGCTCCGGGCTCTCCTCTCCTCGGAGAGGCTGGGTTGCGGCATCCTCATCCGCAACAACTCACGGTAACTCCCTTGCGCTCTCTCTAAGCCGACTGGCTCCGGCGTCCTGCAGTAATTCCTCCTCGTCTCGGAGACCTGCGTCTGGCCGGGTGGAGCCGTGGCCAGAGGAGGCTGTGGACGATGCATATGGGCTTTACTCCCTTCACCGCATGTTTGATATTGTGGGCGCTCAGCTGACGCACCGTGATGTGCGGGTGCTGTCCTTCCTTTTTGTGGACGTTATTGACGAGTACGAGAGAGGAGGGATACGAAGCGGCCGGGATTTCCTGCTCGCATTGGAGCGTCAGGGGCGATGTGATGAGACAAACTTCAGGCATGTTCTTCAGCTGCTCCGCATCATCACTCGCCATGACCTGCTGCCATACGTCACGTTGCGCAAGAGACAGACAGGTTTGAGATCTTGTCACTTTCACCCTCATTTTGGTCACTAGTTCATCCACCGCTTATGACAGCAGATTATTGTCTTTTTTTGGCATGGTGTAATATGTTGCTTATTATTTTCCAGTGTGCCCAGATCCAGTGGATAAATATCTGGAGGAGACGTCAGTCCGTTATGTTTCTCCCAGAGGAGCAGGAGAGGCCCAGCAGGGAACTCCTCACAGAAGAACAGGTGTGTCCTCCTTTGGTTGTGCTTTAGACTTTTTGCTAGTGCTGTAACATTTTTGGTAGTGATGGATTTTTTTTTTTTTTTCGATACACAGAAAAAATGAATTCAAGTATTATTTAGCTGAAAACTAATAATACATTTTATGTAATAATCAGTTAGTTCATTAATTACATTTAATTTAATAATAACACTCAAATAACATATTTAACTTATGGAACATATTTTTTTCCATAGTTGAAACTAGTCAACTGGTTGAGTGATGATATGATATATTTCAGTAAGTTATACTGTTTCTTTCAACATACCTTTTGATGTCAATTCATCTTTATTTCATCTGTATTGTAAGCCTGTTTGATCAGCATCTTTATGCTGTAACTAGTAGTAAAGAGGAAGAGATTAAAGGGTGTCAAAGAGTGCCAAAATCACATTTTTTGTTTGAAATTCGTTATAAAATTTACAAAATTTGAAAGCTCAGACTGTTTCCATATCATACTAAAAGTAACTAAACCAAGCTTATTGCAATTATTAGATGCTAGGCACGCTATAAATAATGTTTAGTGCAGTTTTGTTCAATCACCAACTTAAAACAGCATAGATTAAAAAAATCTTGGTTAATCAAACTCAAGATTGATTAAAAAAGAGAAATTGATATTGTCAACTCAGCCCTAGCATCCACACAGCTGACATGTTTATCTGTTGGAGCTTATCCACGTTGTGTGTATGAAATACACTCTCAGACTTATGCCGGGTTCAGACTATACTTGAAATCAGCCTGATTTTGGAAAAGTCCGTTTGACGAGGGGTGTTGTGGTGATTCGTAAATGCCAATGCGCGTTGGGACCCAAGAATCAATAATTTTATCTCGTATAGTGCGTCGTAAACAACCGATGCTGCGTCTGCGACGCTTCACATTGTCCCGTCAGAAAGACTAGCATGTTTAATTTTTTTTGGTCCTTCATGACTTTGGTGCTGCTAGGTGGAAAAAATAGTTTTGGTTACAAAAATTTCTGTGCATCACTTGTTTTTGATCACACCTGAAGTATCACACACCTGTCACTCTGTAAACTGCAAAAACTGGGCTGTGGACTATGGTCTAATTATTTTATTAGCCAATCAGAACTTTTGAGGTGCTTTTTGCCTGCCAATCATTTTGTGCAGTGGGTCCCCAGGAGCGGGGTTAAAGACATCTGATATTGTGCATTTGTACAGTACAGCACATATATGGCCAAACTAGCTAGCCTGGGAAAACCCAGACAACTTCCGGCAAATTTAGATTTGCTCTGAAAGTTAGTCTGGCAAAGAGCTCATTCAAGCCCATTTCCAATCCGTCGAAATCGAGGCACCAATCAGAAACGTTGGGGCGGGCTTTACACGATGACGACAGCGCTGGGATTTTTAAGCAGATTTTGTAGCCTACATTACAAAGATGGATGCCGCCGGCGAACATCACTTGGTCAAATCAGCTATCGCGTCTGTTTTAAGCGATTTGAACGTTTCCTTTTTGTTAAAAACCGAGCAAAGAACAACACTCTGAGATGTTTCTCCGCCGCTCTGCATACGTCATCTCCTTCATCGCTCTGATTGGTTTTAGGTCTATCCGCGACGTCCGTTGGTGACGCCCCTCTGGAAATGATTTGTCTGACGCTTTGCCAGACCATAACTCAGTTACAACTGAGAATGGTCTGGTTTTAACCAGGCTACAAACTAGCACCAACTTGTCCGGACTGCAAATTGGGGCAAAAGCTGTGTTGTGTATTCCAGCCTTAACTGCTTACAGCATTTTTAACACAAATTTTTTTCTGATTCTGAACTGGAAATCATCCAAATCTTCACCTTATTTATTTCTCCTGAACCTTATCGTGATCAGTGTAAATGCAAGACAGGCATTGTGGTATTGATTTTGATCATGTTCTGATCCTCAGGACCCCAGCCGTTGATCTGCTGTCCTCCATCAGGACCCCAGGTATGCCCACCACGTGCTAAACCCACCCCACCTCCACTGACCAGGAAAAGGAAAAGATCTCACACAACAGCTGACTGCAGAGAAAAACAGACCTGTGGTAAGAAAACAAATCTGCTCTAGTACAAAAAAAAGTTGCATGCTGGTTGACATGACAGTGGCAATGTTTTTTAAGCAGAACAAGAAAATTTGACTCTGTCGAATAAGATATTTGTACAATCATAACTACACCATTTTACCCATAACAAAAGAATTTGTAACATATCTACATGCTTAAGCAATAAGACATGTTCGGATCTGGCCACTTGGCGACACCCCCCCCCCAAACTCGACTTTTTAATATGTATATTAAATCTCATGCAAAATCTCACCTCTTGGCAACCTTTTGAAAGTTGCTTTGAAGCCAGACAATCAGATTGAAACTGACCATTTCAGCCAGGCCTTGGCATTTTTGGGTAGGTATGATATTCCTTTGAGCGTTTGAGCACAGATTTCAGGAATGTTCTTCTTTTTTTTTTAGATGGATATACAGTAAAAGCCACCTTTTTAACTAATCATCCTTCTCTTGCAGACATAAGACTGAGGGTGCGTGCGGAGTACTGTCAGCACGAGTCAGCTCTACAAGGCAATGTCTTCTCCAACAAGCAAGAAGCGCTGGAGAGGCAGTTTGAGCGTTTTAACCAGGCCAACACCATCCTCAAATCCCGTGACCTGGGTTCCATCATATGTGACATCAAGTTCTCAGAGCTGACCTACCTGGACGCCTTTTGGCGGGACTACATCAACGGTTCACTATTGGAAGCCCTGAAGGGCGTTTTCATCACGGACTCTCTGAAGCAGGCAGTGGGTCACGAGGCCATTAAGCTCCTGGTGAACGTAGATGAGGAAGACTACCAGGCTGGCAGGAGGAAGTTGCTGAGGAACCTGGTGGCAGGGGGTGCCGGTGCGGGCACGGGAAGCAGGGAGGGTCCGTTGTCCTAGTTGTGGGAGTGACTCGGTAAGTGGAGGAAATTCAGAGAGACCCAGATGAGCAGAGATTGGACACTAATGAGAAGGTATACATGGGGAAGGAAGAGTGAGGAATGTAAACAGAGAGGAAGTGACTCTTAAAAGAAAGATACCCTACGAGAGGCCGGGATTTGCATCTTTAGCCAATATGGATGAAAAGAGGTGTTAAAAGTGTTCTGGAAAGTTGCGTTATTTCTATTTTATTTTGAGTATCTCAAGTTGTGGAAATAAAAGATGACGGGGAAAAGTTTTGGACAAAGAAGGCATTTAGTTTCTTTTGTCTTTATTCCTGTGTATTTGACACTAATGCTTTTGTTTTTAGGCTTTTGTGAATTAGGTTATTTTTGCTATATTTCCATCAAGTTTTGTTGCACAACCATTTGCTCTTAGTGAAATTCTCCTGATTAAATGGAATATGTTCGCCTCAAAGTTTAACAAAAAGGACAGGTCGCATAAGGTTTGATTGACTGATTTGCCTTTAAAACATCACATTGCTTCAACTCATTATGAAATAATTCCACTGTCAATGTTGTCTAACCATCCATGTTCAAGTTTGTCTGGATGTGAACTTGCTTTTTTAGTCTTTTCATTACAAAATCACAAAGCGGAATCTACAGAGTTTAAATCACCCAAAATCTTCATGGCACACTCCAACATTGCACTTCACTTTGGAACTATGACTACTTTAAAAAGAAAACATTCTCTGTTTCTGTTTTATCATTGACGTTATTGCACAATTGGGTTAGTTTTAGAAAATTCTCAAGGGGGCGTAGTCCAACATCTGAACATTCTGGAGCATGGAGAATTGGTTTTCAGAATGGTTTATGATATGCTTTGTTGCAGCTTGTGTTTTGATGCATGTCCCTGTAATTTTCTTTTGTTTATGGAAAAAACCCAGTAACGTTGGCAAATGTTTGCTCTTGTTTGAATTCACAACTTAATAGATGTTCTTTGCCCAGAATTTTCCAAAACGATTTAGACATTTGGAATCTCTAGGGCTATTAGGCTAATATCCATGTTTAGACCAAAACGTAGCATTCAAATTAATCTTCATTGTTTGTTTTTGTTTGAATTTCTGGGCAGAGAGTTTTTTATGCATCAGTATAATACAGAGATATGCCTTTGTAAAGTTGGAATGCATTCGACAGCAGTGTTTGATTAAGGCTGTACCTTTTGTTTTCACAAAGGAAAAAATTGGCTGCTTTTATTCAATCAAAAAAATAAAAATAAAAAATTGGTAGTTCTGAGAGTTCTAGTGAAAAACGAACAGTGGACTGTTATCGCTAGTTTAAAATGTGACCTCACATGAATCTCACTAGCCTATATAGTTTTTTAACATGCTATATTTATAATTTCCAATTCCACCATTTGAATTCAAGCAACTGTGCCAGGGTTTCTGTGTCTTGAAACAACAAGTCTTGAAAGATAACACAAAATGTGCCACCCTGAAGCACAACCTGTGTTTTTACATGACTGAAGTGAAACAAAAATGCCTGAGCAACATGCAATCGCAGAAAGATGTGTAATTTGACTGACTTGAGATGTTTTTGCTATACTTTTAAAATACCAAAGCTATTCCCAGACATTCATTCTCTTTAAACTCTCTCTTTTTCATTCTCTCCTCCTCAATCTGTTAAGATATAATGAAACTGTTGAAATATTGAAAGGAAAATTGGTGACGTGGGGTGAGTGGAACAGATGTTTAGAAAAGTTAGCTGTGGATCAATTATTGCTATTATTATTATTACAGAAGGAAGAAAAGCATTTTGTAATGTTTTCCTAATGGAACTAAACAAAGTTACAGACTGGTATCTATTATATAGGTTACATGTTCTATTGATTGTGTTCAAGTGTTTGTCTTTATATCTTGCATGTATATGACATTGATCCCCTTAAATATCACACAGTGACAATTGAGCTGTGGTCTGTAGATTTGAAATATCTAGACATTTCTAACCTTTTTTACACTTTGTTTTTCATAGAGAAAGAAATGGGATTGCTACTTTTTGGAGAGGTGAGATGAGAGTATTCTCAAAGTGACACAGTAGAACAGATGAAGACGGAGCACTTTATTTTTTACTCTAAAGTATTTCACCTATTGTAACCATATATAGTAATACACCATTCCAAAATGTAGGAGCATCGGCATCATCGGCCATCTGTCACATTATGACTCTGATTTTTGAATAATTTTATTTTTTTGTTGACCATGCCGGTGGTTGTGTTAAGTGAAATATTTACGTGCAAAATAGACAGCTGGTTCATTCAATGTCTGTACAAATCAATAAAACAACTTGGAAAAACACAATCTGTTGCAGTTCCTTTTTTAAAACATTAAATATACTGTTAGTAACACATTAATTGATGTTGCAATTTCAATTTAGCCATTCAAAATTAAATTTCCCGAAAAGAATTGCTCTGTTTGAACTGCCTGACCAAGCAACATTGTCTCATACAAAAATTTAGGGCAGTAGTACTACCTTCTACTTTTTTTTCCATTGCTGATGAAGGGTGGGTTTGGAAAAGCCATTTAGAAACTGAAATTCTGTAGGAACACAAATACCTGGAAAAAGTTAACATTCATATTCATCTCCATTGCTTATGCTTAGTTCTGCTGCCATTTTTTGAGCCAATCATCTGAATCTAAATGCGTGATTGATCAATGCTGATTGGCTGATGGCAACATAAAAGTGCTCACAGTCTTCTCTAGTGACTAAACTTTGCTGTGAAAGGCAGAAGAAATGGGAAAATGTCCATTTCACAATTTTAAAAGCCTTTCCACAAGTGGCCATTGGTAAAACATCATCTTTCATATATCAATATTTTTGTGATTTAAATGTTGCTGGCAAAATTATGAATGGAGAAAGAATTTTGTTTCTCAGACAGATGGTTTAGTCACAGCATCTACAGCTAACAAGCCCATGCAAACGAACCAAACCTTGAACCATTGGAAGTAGTGCAGAAATTACATAGAGCAACATTAATGATATCAGCCTAAAAAAATTTTTGCCAAAGAGATCTTCACTCTTTTTTGGCTTTCCTTTTCCTGACAAAAACTTTCAGCAAAGCCCTGCTCATTAAGACCAAGAGCAGACAGACTGCCGTAAATAAACTCGCGATCAGCATGATCACATCCGCGCAGTGGTAGGAATACCAAGGAAGCTTGTAGGACTCTGTGCGTAAATGCGCCGCACCCTTATGCCTCATGACAAACTCCAGCCAAAAGATGGCGCTGTCCATTGGCTTGAGCGGTGTGTCATGATGTAGACTTGACATTCTGCGCATGTTCTTCTGGTATGGTTGATTTTCATCCAGGATATCCATCAGGGCTTGCGTTAGGGTATCTACATCCAGGACTGCGACGTCAAGCACTTGAGCCACCCCTCTGGCGTCCAGGCGAATCATGTTGTCGAATTGGTCGAAGATGAGCGGGAGTCCAAGCATCGGCACGCTGTGGTAAATAGCCTCATAGATTCCATTCGTTCCTCCATGGGTAACGAAAGCTTTCGTTTTAGGATGCCCTAGGAGGTCGTTCTGAGGCAACCATTCCACTATGAGTGTGTTTTTCCCCAACGTAGACGGCTTTTCCCCTACATGCCTCCAAATCACCTTTTGCGGCAAGCGAGCGAAGGCAGAGGCGATAACCTCAGATATGTCAGGAACCAGACTTCCAAGCAGAGTACCCAAAGACATGATCACCACCCCATGCTCTCCAGAACTCTCGACAAACTTCTCCAATTCATCTGGTAGAGGTTTGGATGGTTTGCACTGGAAGCCTCCAATGTAGACCACGTTGGGCATAGTAGGACGAGGGAACTCGAAAACAAAATCGACTCGCATGAGCCACAAATCTGCTCCTTGGATCAGAGTGTAGACATTGGAATTCGGGTCTATGTATTCGCTGACAACTCCTTGATAGAGGGGCCTTGTGAGCATGTGGTCTATATATTGGCCGATTCCAAAATGCAAGAGATTTTTCATTTTATTTGCAAAGCTCATTTTGTCCGTCACCCTGGATCCGATAGTTGGGATGTAAGAAAGCGGTGAGGGTGCAATTGCAAAGTGCCCTTCTCCGTTTGTTATCCATCGTACGTTGAACACCATTGGTAGACCCAAGTGCACGCCCAATATGACCCCTCCTGCAAAACCAGGATCAGTTAGCATCAGATCATACTTGGACTCTTTGAGTGTTTTTATAAGCTTTTTATCTTCTAGGATGGTCCTCACCATCTCAGCAGAAGACCTGTGAGACTCTTCTAAAAGAGTAATGATTTCTTTCTGCAGGGCAATGAATGACCAAACTGATCCCTTCCCTCTTTGAATGTCAATGTTTCTCTTAAGAAAGGACGCCATGTACTCCGGGTCCTCCAGGCTGCTGAGGTGCTCAACCTGGACTGTGATGGGCGTATAGTGTGTGGTGTTCTCTGGGATGTACCAACTGTTGGCAGAACGGACCACTGTCAGTTTGTGACCTCGCTGATGAAGCTCTCGTAGCAGAATGTCCATGTTAAGCCAGTGGCTTCCATCCACAGGGTACACTAGGATCTTCCCAGCCAGGGAAAGTGGTGGGGGACTCCAAAGAAAGACAAGGACAAAGATCGAGGGATGCAGCAGCATTGTCTGAAAATGTGTTTGATTAGTCAATTTTTGATTGGGAAACGCATTGCTACTTGACTTTTTGCAATTGTAGATCAAAACATATGTGCTTATGCTTGTAAATGAGAAAATAATAGCAAGTTAACTGACTTATTATATTTGTGTTTTAAAGGGATAATTCGCCTTTGGCTAAGCCCCGCCCCCCTTAGTTACTGTTGCTACGTCCGACAAACAAACTTCATATGGGCTCTGGTATCAACATGGCTTATGCTGTGACGGCTCTTCCTGCTGAAAATGTATCAAACTTTTATAAAGCAGCAAATAAAGTGTCCAATAGAAGTAGGCAAAAGGGGCTGCAATATACGTTGGAAGGCTATATTAACGACAAACAGGTGAAACGCAAGGAACAACAAGGCATCCAAATAGAGGCAAAAGCATACCGGTCACAGTCAAAAAATGAACCACCGCATATCCTATTAATCGAGACGGAGGCTGGGACTAACAATATCAAGGAGCAACACTGTTCATGCAAAGCTGGGTAGGTCTCTATTCATTTCTATAATCGTTATTACAAAACAACGGACTACGCGAGTATAACGTTGTATTTATTAGCACCGTGTGCTAGCTAGACGACACTTGTCAGGATTTGACTTCCTGAAAAAATGGACACCCCCCTCCAACCTCTCTGGGAAACGCGTATCTGTGTTACAAATGCCCCAGGCACAACGTTTAACCATATTTTTGATAAAACTACGACGGCAATAGCCTGCCGAGACCAAAAATATGAGACGCCTGTGTTAAAGTCAATGGAGCGCTGTGAAAAAGTGTCGGACCACTGTGGGAGCTCGTTCTTGGCTGCGTTGTGATTGGTCAATCTACATTCTAGGGTGTGGCTTAGCCAAAGGCGAATTCACCCAAAATTTGAAATTCTGTCATCTACTCACCTTCATGTTGTTTTTGGTCCATTAAATGAACCTCAAAGCGGTAGAATGTTGTTTGGACCACTTGGTCTTTCAAAATGCATATACTTTTTGTCTTCTGCAGAAGAAAGTCATACAGGTTCAGGTTAACATTAATGATGAGAGAGTTTTCTTTTTTTACGGTGAACTTCCCCTTTAATTATTAGCGTTGCTCAAATTCAGAAACTGATTATTACAACTCAAGTACAAACATCTTAATGATTCTTAATTTGCCGTTTTGTAAACCCAAATTAATGGACGGATACATGCTGATTCTTTCTGATAATATTGCATTGTATAATATAATAATGCAAATACAAAAAAAAAACTTATTATTAACGTTTTTATACCTCATGATTACAAATGAATATCAATGCTTATTTTAAGTCTTTGGTAATGATCTCATGTCTTTTGTCTCTCCATTATTTATTTATTCATTTATTTATTGTGTTTTGTCTCTATTCCTCATTTGCCAGTGGGTTGCCCTTTCACTTAAGTTCACAGTTATCTGAGAGAAGCATTGCACACTGACCTGACCCTGCTTCAATATATAATGTACAGTTTTAAGAGTTAACTGATTGCATGTGAGTAAAGGTCTCGAACTAAGCACAGATACATTTCCCTCACATGTATGCTAGTTATGTAAAGGCTATTTATCCAAGATTAAACTTAGGCATACAAAAGACTTGAGTATCTAAACCTGTGTATTGTTAAATAGTGGAAGCAATTTAGTGATTTGCACAAATATGTAAATGTACAACTGTGTAGCTTATTGTATAAAAAATACTGTGTACATTGTTCTTAATGACATTGTGCAATATAGTCTCCATTTACTATTTATAATGATATTTACATTGATTGAACTGCTACTGCAAAAAGAAACATTTTAAACCACACAGACAAGTAGAATGTACCTGGTCTTTGGCGATGTCCTGAAGATGCGTGATGCCCCAACTGTGCAGTTTTTATTCCTGAACTGTCAGACAGCGTGTGAAAGTGTATTGCCGAGAGTGAGCAAGGCCCTTGTTTTAAAAGTGGTGACTAACATACAAATCGGACCGGGAACTGAGGTTGAACTTTGGTCCAGATTTGCACTTTCTCTGTTCGTTTATTTAGCCTAGCCTCAAAAGTGGGCTTGATCTGAATCATGTGTTTGGTGGAAGAAAGAAAGAGAGAAGGGCAGACCAGACCCACAAACAGATTGTGTTAGAGGATTACACACAGCACATTCCACTCTTGTTAAAACCTATATTTTAATCTAACCCATTAAAACAGCCCTTCGAGAACGAATGGAACCAAAACACAAGTGTTGGCAAAATTGTTCCACTTCTGACTTGTAACATAATCCAAAAGGAGTGCAATCATGAAAATATATCATAATGTGGAGCCAGCTAAACAAGCTTTCTTAAAAAATAAATAAATAAAAAAATCCCACTGGATAAAATAAAATTCCAATTTTCGTTTCGTTTTTGTTTTTCAGAATTTCAGTTCAATAAGCTATCTTATTCGGTATGGGTATACTTTTGTTTTCACCTCAGTAGAGTGAGAAGGCACTAATTAAATATGCAGTCCTTTTGTTAGATAACAGCTCAGTGCATTGTAAAAGACATCGTTTCATCAAGCTTGGCTTCAGAATAGATATATTGCGCTGCTGGATACAATGCCATTCTTTTCCACTAGAGGGATTGACGCGTCACTATTTTCACTTCGGATGCATGGAGGAGAACATTACAGAAGAAGAAAAAAAAGGAGAACATTACAGATTATAGAACATGAACAAACAGGTCATTCTTATTTGCTTACGATTTGAAGTAGCAAATGTAAAGACACAGAGGGCATATGTTCAGTGTTTTTACCCCTCTTCTGTTTTCACACTTTCTAAATTCAGTTTAGTGCTTTATTCATGAATGTGTATGAAATTCATGTATGAAAATAACAGTACAGAATGAATTGTAAAAAGTTATGAAAATATAGCAATTCAGTTTGAACAAAAATTAACTATTTGAATTGTGAACTATTGAACTATATGTGTGTGTCATCAACATAACATAAGTGTTTTTTGAAAATGTAGAAATTGCAGAGAGTTTTCTGTGATGGGTGTTTAGGGGTAGGGGTAGTGTAAGGGAATATGTTTGTACAGTATACAATTTAATTTTGTACACGGAAAGTGCATGCCCATAAATCCCAACTTTTTTTTTTTCATCTGTTGCTGACAAAATATGTTTACGTATTGAAATAAGTGGGGAAATATGTGTTGTCAAAACACATAAGGATCATGTGACTTTACATGCATGTTCATGACCCAAATGTGAAAAGTCACAAAATGTAAAAAAAACAAAAAAAAAACATAGGTTAACCAAATCAAAATGGGTCAAATTGAACCGCTAACACAAGTTGGTATTTCATGGCCAAAATGATCATTTAAAATCAGTCAAGAGCTAGAAATGTATCTTCATATTTACTGGTAAAGCTTTATATTATGGGTATACTGCTTTCTTTGACCCCCCTAAACCCCACCCAAAAAAAACACCCAAATGTCTTGTTTAGCCTATAGGCTATACTTTGAAACTGAAATTAATATTAATTAAACCAAGGCTCTCTCTTTTTAAATCCTTTGTCTGGATGTTTTATTAATGGAGCAGGCAGCAGACTGCATGAGCACTTGCTTAATAATTAATGCTCAGATTCCCAGCCTAGAGAGAGAGAGAGAGAGGGGAACGAATTAAAGAGTAAATTCATCAAGCAATATCGAATATTTTATTTTTGTTTGTTTTATTGTTATTATATTAGTTAATTAATTATGGTTGTCTTAACTATAACAATTTTTGTCTCAATCTAGAGTTTATTATTTTTTTAACAAAATATTTTTAAATTATTTTAATAATTTATCTTTTTTGTCGAGTATAGTGATTATTCTGTGCTAACATGCAAAATTAGCACATGGATATTAATAAGATGCTGACGTTGTGTGGTAAAATCGGATGCCTACCGTATCGTGAAAACCACCCAATGGCGAATGTTCTACTTATGAATATGAAGTAGGCTACATCATGCTAACGTATCGTGACAACCACCCAATGGCGAATGTTCTGCTTATGAATATTGATTACTCGTGCTGACGTTTCGTTGCTACCTTGCTTGGTTACCTTCCTAAGGCAAAAGCCTGGGTTATGAATATTTAAAATATAAATATAATAAAACTAAGCCTTCGCCATAGTAGAATTCGTCTTTACCGGGAAAAGGAGTGAGAGAGGGAGGGAAGCGAGGTTATTCGCCCACCCCTCCCCCACCCCCCGTCCTCCGGCGCTCGGATGCTGCGACCGCTGCCATCATCACCGCGAGATGCGCGTCAAACTGGCATCATCAGCATGTAGACCCACATCTCTCCTTCACCCATCACTCTATCAATCAGCGCCAAAAAAAACAGCAACGATGTGACCAAAGCGACCCTCCTTTACGTTCCCGACAGCACAAAACGCCGTTTTTAACAGATTAATTAATGCGGACATGGTACAATCTCATCTGCATCATTCAGGTTTTCTTCCGCATAAGATGAAGTGGTCACCACCGTCTGTTGCCTCCTGCTCCCTTCATTTGATTTCTATTCTGCACCGTTGCGCATCATCTGCATTTGGAATAGCGTAAAGGTCAAATGATGTGACTTTCATTTTTGTGTTCTCCGTGATGGGCATGATTTGAGGATAAATCACTGGATATCATTCCGTTTTTCCTGCCTTTTTCCCGGCTCAACGTGAAATGTCCTTGGAGCATGGCCTGCGCGGTGAGTGAATATATTTGTTCATGGATACATGTTCACAAGTGCCTTGAGGTGTCAGCGGGGTATGTTTTATGTGTTTGTCTATTTGTTGCAGTCGAGTGCCTGCTAATGTATAATTAAAGTGCTTTATTATTATAATATCAGTAGGGATGCATTACATGGAAATTATCATCATCAATTACTGTACGCCTAGCAAATTTATGCTGATATTATTCACCAATATGACATTTTTTTTGCCATGAGTGTAGGTATTCCTGATTGTTTAACAATCGTTTTTAATGTCATTAAAATAAAATGGTAATAATCAATATAGCCTAAATAAAAAAAAATATATAGACTAATAATAATAATAATAATAATAATCACACATAATAATGCAGTTTTATAATCAGAAATTTGACAGGACTTGCATTCTCAACACAAGCATGTATTTAAAAAAATATTAATCTTCGTCATTGTGCCATAAACTTAATTAAGAGCTGTTAATTTTTATATACCTGTCCTGTATAGGTAAAAAAATAAAATTAAAAAAGTAGTTTTGGGTAGACTGTAAAGCAGGTGGTGGACGGATGTAACCTTGCTGTCTGGTCAGTTTGTGCAGCATCATTTTAATCCCCTCTAAATGGTTTTAATATACATTTGATTTACCTTCCTCCTGCCGTGATTAAACCGAAATAAATCATAACACAAATGCTACAGGCTCTGTCATAAGCTCTGAGCAGCTGTACAGTGGACCAAGGTGAACATCTGATTCCTGAAGGTTACCAGGAAAGGGCATCATCTTGTTTAAAGAGCGTGTTTGTTGAGGAATCTTCTGGCCATTTTTAATAAAAGATGAGGCGCGCACACAGATTATGGGTTTAAATGTTCAGTAAAGTTGGTGTCACAGCAGGGAAATGGAGGCTCAAGCGGATTGTAATGTCATCCAAAATTGCAGGCCTGATGGCTGGTAGTGTTGCCTTCGTAAATCTGTTCTGCAGTGGGATTGGGCAAGTGTTTATGTGCGCATGCGCAGGCGTCTCGTACTGACTGAGTGAAGGCAGATTTTGCGTCGAGAGGCGGTACTGTAAAGTAGCCTACATGGGTTGGGGAGAGACGCACATATACAACGCTTTTATCAAGAGAGAGTATTTCAAAAGGCGTTTAGATAAAGAGTAATTGTCCTCGGTTTCCATCGGATATTATGTAAACAATCCATTGCAGCAGTAGGTGTGCATGATGAACACTTGCCTACTTGTTTCCCACAAAACTACCTACACCTGTGACTCCTCGGTGAGAAATGCCACCTCCACATTTC